TCGGTTCGGCTCAGCAGCTCACCCGCGTGTCCGGTAACCGCTCCGGTGGACGCTGCCCTTGAATATTTAATGGTAAAGAAAGACTTTCAGGCTGCTCTGGATACGTGCGAGAAAGGGCTTGAGAGTTTGGGCTCTTTTGCAGAGCAGGAGGACAGCAGGTGAGTTTTTATATATGACATGTTACAATGAAATTATATTTTGCATTTATAGTTATTTCAAATGTAATTCTAAATCTTTCCTTACAGCTTCAAGTATGTGGAACTGAAAGCAGCATTGACTATAGTGGGGATTCAGGCATTGGCGGAGCTCAATCAGTGGCGTGGAGTTCTGCAATGGGTTTTGCAGCAGTATGGAGAAACAGAGAAAATTCCTGCCAAGATTATCCAAATGTGGTCAGAAGAATCGGCATTAATCTCACAAATTACATTAACCCTAAAAAGTGCAAAACTATAAATAGACATCAGAAAATGAATTTATTGCTATTTTCTATCTTATCGGAACTCAAATAATACAATTTCATGATTTTTTAAATTTTTTATTATTTTAATGTTTGTATCCCCCAGGATACGTCACCCCTTTGGGGATATAAATTCACTGAAAACAGAACACTTGTTTATCGATGCTTGTTACAACATGGTTGTAATTCCTGAATGCTTTGATTTGGAATAAGGTTGGTTTCTTTTTAAAGAAGACACAAGCCAGATTATTGCTGAAGTTAAAGCATTTAAAAAAAAATAAAGTATAAAAAAGTTATAAAAGTTTGTTTACAGTAAAGATAATGTATATTATTTTTATATTTTATATAAAATAAATATTTTATAAAATATGTTGCACTCTAAAATTGCTATAAAATCAAAACCAAGTTATGTTCTAAATTGGAAGTTGATATCACAAAAATTGTGGTTCTTGTGATTGTTTGGGGCGCTATACCAAAAATAACCATTGGGTTACACCCAAACTCTATTGAATTTTTTTGATGCAGTTTTCTGTCAAAGTATCACTTCTATTACAAAACAGTTACCTAATATGGAACCTTGACTGCCAGACCTTTCCAACTATATGCATTTTGTCTAGATTACAAAAAGTATTGATTTTCTGAAACACAAGCTACAAAATCACAGTCTATATATATGTTTTTATATCTTGATTTATACCCCTAAAAGGGCAACGTATCCCCTGAGATGCAAACATTTAGAGACAGATTACAAAAAATGTAAGCACTTAATTCATAAGATTTTAATGTAAACCTAATGCTGAACAACAGCTTTTTAAACAAGTACGTCCCATCCAACAAGTATAAATATGTGAACTAGATCAACTTTTATCGGAGGGTGAGAAGATTTCCCATTACAGGCGGCCATGCAGTTTTAAATGCTGCCCGTGAGCTAAACAAAGAATGGAGAAATAAGTCACCCCATCTAAATATTCACAACAAACACCCTTTCTAAATGAAACCAAGAAATAAGACCTACACTTTCACTGCTTCTCCCCACAGCTTCTCAAATGTTTGTATCCCCCAGCATACGTTGCCCCTTTTAGGGTTAAACAGCACTTGAGTGTGGGTGAACACACTTCATCACTCCTAATGCTATATAAACCGTTTCACAGCATTCTTCTCTATGTGAAAGTGGATGAGCGGGCCGTGATGAAGGATGCGGTCTGTGATTGGCTGCACTGCTCTGGTAACATGAGCCAGTCGGGGTTCAGCTCTGTGGCTGAGCTGTATTTCCTCCACATACTGGTGCCGATGGGTCACATGGCTGAAGCTCTGGAGATGCTGGAGACTGATGTGGGTCGGCTGGCCTTCACTGATGAACAGAGGCAAGCAGCTCGGAGTTTGGTAGACATTCAGAATGAGAAAAATGCAACATCATCCTCTACAAATCCTGAATCTGTAGCTGTGACGACAACAACTTGTGCTTCAAAAAAAGGTGACTTTCTTTTATTAATGTGCTTAAAGTCAAAAATGGCAATGTAATTTGATTCTTCAAACTATATGATTGATGAGGAGATCATTTTATTGTAGAATTGATAATGGATGCAATTTGTGATTTACAGATAAACTGACTCAGCGGCTGACTTCCATGATGAGGTTGTTATACCGAGGTCTTTCAGTAGCCAGTGTGAGAATCAGATCCATCTCTCTGCGCAGAGTTTTTCTGGCTTTAATATTGCTGTATCTTCTTCTCGTCCGTATAGACCCGGGTAAGAGATCCGCTGGCCATTTTTATGCAATGCATCCTCAATAATTACTTTAATTAATTATCTTTTTTCTGCTATTTCTCCACTCTCAGCTCTTCCCTCAGCTTTCCCATGGCTGCTCCGCCTGCATGGACTCCTTCAGCAGATGTGGAACACCATGTTTGGACCTTATTACAGAGCCAACAGCCGGAGTTAGAGTTTTAATGGAGTTATCCTGGAATTAACTGTGAAACAATGTTGCCACCCCTGATTTGTAATACTTAATACATCCTGTGTTTGTCATGGGCATCTCTTATTGCTGCATTTACTTATTATAGATTAAAAAAAAATCACTGAATTATATCAAACTACTGATAGCCTATTTAAAATGGATGGTATCCTGGAGAGAAGTATTTCATGCAGATCAAATGTAATTTAATTATATAATAAATGTGTAAATATGTTTTTGAATGTATGAGTTCATGTGGATCTGCTCCAGACACAGTATGTAAATTATATAAACAACTATTTATTGTACATCACATTGAATAGTCACGGTTAAGACTAGTTTTAAGTTTTATTAATATGTACTTTTAAAATGCACTTTTAGTAAGAATAAGAACAACAGAGGTTTTTATCTGGGATATTAACTAAAATTAAAACCATTTTTTGTGATTTAAAATGAATGTCAACTAAAAAAACAAGCAAACTTGTTTTGTATCTGCTAGTTGCCAAGGCAACATTTCTCATTTTTATTTTAAGGTGAAGAACTAAAATAACTAAATCTAATAAATAAAAATGAATACAGACATATTTGTAAAAACAAACACTAATAAAAAAATGTAATAATAAAAATAGTAATAATAATGATTCAATCATGTTTGTTAATAACAACAATACTAAGTCATTTATTCTGAACCGGGTGTTAGTTTCGTATCTGTGATAGAAACTGATGCGTGAATTGAAAGTGAAAGTAAAATCATCTGTTTCTGTTTATGTCTGTATGAAACTCATTGTTATGCTACGAGTAAAAGGGAGCTTCTTGAAGAGGGTAAATATTTCTTGAAGAGGGTAAATATTTCGTCAGCTTAGTTTGATTTTCTATAACCAATATGCAGATTAATGTTGACACAGCAGGTTTCCATAGATACAACACTGAGAAGCGTTTGCAGTCGTATACAGTGGGTATGGAAAGTATTCAGACCCCCTTAAATTTTTCACTCTTCGTTATATTGCAGCCATTTGCTAAAATCATTTAAGTTCATTTTTTTTCCTCATTAATGTACACACAGCACCCCATATTGACAGAAAAACACAGAATTGTTGACATTTTTGCAGATTTATTAAAAAAGAAAAACTGAAATATCACATGGTCCTAAGTATTCAGACGGCTGCAATATAACAAAGAGTGAAAAATTTAAGGGGGTCTGAATACTTTCCGTACCCACTGTATGTCTGTGGATGGGAAAGTATTGGAGTAAAATGGCTCGACTATACTACCGCTCTGCATCATTGGATTATGGTAGGTCATCAGAGACTTGCATCTATCATATCACATATTTTTAATTAAAAAAAATACTGCTACTGTAACTACTGTCATTTCAGTCTTTTTAACCATTTTTGAAATTTATCCAGAAATGCTGGAACTAATAATGATCTTAAATATGATCTAATGTTTCAGAAGTGAGGGGCCTTTTAAACTACAGTCTGTCCTGCTGTGTTAATGCTTTGCTTCAGTCCTTTTCTGCCACCACTGAACTCCTGGACATACTGAACAAGTAAAGCACTATTGTCTTTTGAATAAGCTGCATACTCGAGACTAGCCATGCTTAATTTGGACATTCAGAAATCTGTTCTGAACAGATTTGGGAAAATGTAGCATTACATCATGTGCTCATCAATGGATCCTCTGGAGTGAATGGGTGCCATCAGAATGAGAAACCAAACAGCTGATAAAAACATCTCATAATACTCACGACTTCATGACAATCATCGTGTGAAGTGAAATGCTGTGTGTTTGTGAGAAACAAATCCATCATTAAAGCATTACGAGTCTATAATCTATAATAACGCTTCCTCTGGTGAAAAAACCCATCTCCTGAAGTCCTCTAACATCAAAATCCATCGACATATTTGTGTAGAACTGTTTTGTACTGTTTTTCTTTCTTGATCTGTGCATATTTCACGCCTGATTCTGACGAGACAACTTTTTTTTTTTTTTCCACTTGAGAAAGCAATATTATGGATAGAGGACTCAAACAGTTTTTTCACTTCACAAGATATTAACTGATGGACTGAAGTCATGTGGATTACTTGTGGATTATTGTGATGTTTTTATCAGCTGTTTGGACTCTCATTCTAACGGCACCCATTCACTGCAGATGATCCATTAGTGAGCAAATGATGAAACTCTGAATTTCTCCAAATCTGTTCTGATGAAGGAACAAACTCATCTACAACTTGGATAGCCTAAAGGTGTGAGTAAATTTTCAACTATTTTTTTCATTTTTGGGTGAACTCTTCTTTTAAAGATGCCATCCATCAGATGGGACTGATGAGAGGAACGTCCCACTGCAGTTGAGGAACGCCCTGGAAGCCATGAGGGACAAATCACATCCTGCTCCACACATAAACTTCCTCAACTGCCTCTACCATCAAGCCATCCGACGTATGCCTCACATCACCCTAAAATCTTATACTTATGGAAATAATGTCACTCAGTGGTGTCATTCTGTCATTCTGCTGTAGCATCCACTCAACAAGATGCAGATGAAATATTCCACATCGTCCTAAATCTCAGTCAGAAGCAGATGCCTGATACTGCTGTGGTGGGTTTTCATTAAAAATAGATGCACAGATTTTGTTCAGTATACTGTCAGTGTAAATGAGAATAATCAGTTATGTTAAACTCTTTATCTGTTTACTCTTTCAGGCTCAGGAAATCCGCAGTCTCTATGAGATAAAGGTAGAGACCCAGGTGGTGTGTTCAAAGTGCAAATTCATTCACAGAGCGCCCAGCTCTCTTTTCAGCCTTCCTTTGGCAATCTGTGAAAGAGAAAACACCCTGGTAAATAATTTAAAGTGAAATTTAAAGGAAAAAAAACATTTCTTCTGTTGAACACAAAAGAAGATATTTTGAAGAATGTTGGTAACCAATCAGGGGTAGCCATTGACTTCTATATTATGGACAAAAATACTATGGAGGTCAATGGCTACCAGCAACTGTTTGGTTGAATCTACATTCATTTTTAGTCATTGTGCATCAGTAATGTACATTGTAATGTAGAAGATCTTGAGCTAATCATGCTTTATTATTCTTCCTTATGTTCTTTAGGAAAGCTGCATCAACTCTTTTTTCAAGCTACAAAAGCTGCCGGACAGCGAGAAGTTTTACTGTGACCGGTGTGATGAAAAGCAGCCGTGCACTCATGTGTGTGCTTTATTTGTTATTATCTAATAGTATAATCTTTCATAAATTTTGATGGTTTGTTTTTATGTGGTAATATAGCAAATCCAAGTAAGATTTATCCTGATTTCAGCACATAGTGCAGTGCATTGTAAGTTAATTGTTTTGCTTTTTTTTTTTTTTGTCATGTAGGAAGTGAAACTTGCCTCATTGCCTCCGATTCTGTGTGTCCACTTGAAAAGATTCAGAAACAATGATGGTTTCACCAGGAAACTCTCCAACAAAGTCACCTTTCTTGAAACATTCAGCACTGGCATTTTTGCTGCAGGACAATCAGAAAATGTATGTTTAGCATATATTTAGTAAAGAACTCTGCAGTCATAGTAATATTGTCATATGCTTGATTTGTCGTATGCTTGTTTTAGGCTGATTGTCTCAAGGCTGATGAGTGTTACAGTCTCTATGCAGTAGTAGTGCACATAGGAACTGCCATGTTTGGTCACTACACTGCTTTCATCAGATCAAATCAGGACGAGATGTGGTTTTATGCTGATGACAGCCGAGTGCAACCAGTAAGAGATAGTGACTGACTGATTTAACTAGTATCTGAAATAGTTAAGACTGAAATGTAACTGATATTGATATGTAATTATTTTATTTATCACATAGTCCACATGGGCAGAAGTGCAGGTCACATATGGAGGGTCCCATCGTTATGGGTATGTTAAACATCAATCATTCTAAACTTATATAGCTTCTCACAGGCACTTCAAAGGAAAGCAAAACAAAAATGGAAATATTTTAAATAATTACTTTATTCTCTTTACATTTCATCCAAGACATCTTCCAGTTTTTAATTATAATTTTGCATGCTGTTTTTAGAGACACAGCCTACTTTCTTCTGTACAGGAAGAAGAGCTGGAATTCATCTGGATAACTGTTGGGAACACTGACTGCAGCACTTGATGAACACTATATGAATTAATGCAGAGAATATTCCAAGATTAGGACCAAAGTCTATTTATATTTTGGGTGTAAGTATGAAGAAAGGTGTTAAAGAATGTAAATCAGTATATTTTCATGTTGATTGGGGTTTATATAGGACAGTAGTTTGTGTAGGATTATGCTATTTTGCCAGAGAATGTTTTGTGAAATGTATGGATATTGATAAATAATTAAAAAAAAATGTTTTGAAATAATGTCGTCTTTTATCTCAAGTTCTTACTTTTCTGTAAAGCTCTAATGTAAAAATACTGTGCAAAAATACAATGTTTAAAAAGGTTTACATGACATGTACTCGACTGGTTCAAAGCCACAAGGAGACTTTTATTCTGAAAAATGCAAAGACGCAACCTGGCTTTTATTTTGAGAAGCCATTGCGCTTCGTGACTTTTATTTTGGAAAGCATCCATACCATGGCATTTTCCCCGCACGTCCTGGTAAACGCCTCCGTTATGATCTTGTAGGTGAGCAAACGTTGTCATAAACCATATTTCTTACAAGAAACTTTACTACCCAGCTGAAGATTACTTTATCCATTCAGTAAATCGGCTTTTAGCATCTTAATAATCTACAAAGTACGACAATACAATATGAGGAGAATTATATTTGAGGAGAATTTCAGTCCACATTTTTTGTGTGTTGCATGCTATTAAACATAATAGGCAACACATTGTGGTGTATTATTGTTTGTTTGTTCTCTGTTTTAGGTTTATTGTCTGCCTAAGGATAAAAAGCGAGACATTAAAATGAGTAATCCACTGAGAGGTGAAGTTATAAGATTGTACAGAAATGTAAGAAGCATTCTTTCTTTTTTCATCTGTTCTTTTCATATGAAATGTTGTCCAGTGGTACTTTATGTCATCCTTTACTGGACATAACATTACATGGCAGCCAAGTCACAAAATAAACAAACACAGAAAGAAGAAATGTAAAATTGTACTGATGACTATCCATTGCTTGGGTAATGCATTTCTTTTTTTACAGCTTCTGTATCTTGGACGGGAATATCCAAAAGGCACTACATACTTCAGGGAGCGTCTGAAAGCAGCTTTCATGAAGAACAAAGATGTCACCGATCCTGAGAAAATCAAAAAGCTGGTTGACCGTGGAGAGTTTGTGATCAAAGAACTCGAGGCGCTTTACTACCTCAGGAAATACAGAGCAATGAAGAAACGCTACTATGAACCAGAGCATTAATCGATGTCTCTGTCACACGTGCCAGACTGTACAGTATATATGTCAAAGGTTAAATCCTTATTTTCTGTACATTTCTGAATGTCTGTTTTTCATATGTTGCACTATAACAGATTTGGACATAAACCTTTATTTTTACTACTTTTAAGTCCTTGTTAAATTTACAGTAGACAGTTATTTGAATGTCAAGTACATATGCGTGTATATTTAAAGACATTTCAGTTTTATGCTGTTCTAAGCAGGTGTTTGTGTAGACCGCTCTACATCACAGAAAGCAAAGTTGGTTTTTCCAAAGGAGTTGTCCAGCTCCTGCACCAGGTCAAACTTTCCTGCACTACCGGAAACCTTTTAATGCCAATAATTGAAAATGATAAAAGTGATGGGAATAGTGTGAGTATATTTGTACATGTATATTTGTATATATGCGTGCATTAAAGAATATACTCACTTTTGCTTTGAGTACATTGTAGGCTTTGTAGAAGGTGAGGTCTTCTTTTCTGTCTGCCACCTTGGAGAGAAACTTAGAAAACACCAGTTACTTTGAACAATGACAGCAGAGTGCTTCACATATCAGAATGTCTCATACCTGAAACTTTGCTGACAACGAGACCCACGGTAATGACTGTCACAGTCCCCATTGGGCCAAAGTACAGGTATGAGAGCGAGTACCAATTATCAGCCAGGAAAGGCCTGAGAAGAAATGGATCCTGTTTATGTACCAGCCAATAGATTTCGATTCAACTGATTTTTGCAAACCCACCTTTCTAGATTTTCCTCTGTTTGCAGTCCAGTTAGTGCTGCCTGAGAAGTTACAGCCGTGTGTCACCAGAGCCAACGGTCTGCTGTTCTCTGGTCGTGGAGGGTATATCTGTGCCCTGATGCACACCCACAGTGACAGTGCCAAACCGGATATCAACCCTGCTAAACCTCCCTAAAACAGCCACACTTTTAAAGGAATAGTTGACCCGAAATCGCTGAAAATTTACTCAGACTCAGGCCATCCAAAATGCAGATGAGTTTGTTTCTTCATCAGAACAGATTTAGATGTAATTTAGCATTACATCACTTGCTCACTAATGGATCCTCTGAAGTGAATGGGTGCTGTCAGAATGAGAGTCAGAACAGCTGATAAAAACATCACAATAATCCACACCACTCCCGTCCACTTTTCCCAGGATGAAGGATTTTTATGGATTATGAACTCATATTTTGGTCAGAAGCAATGGTTTAAAGTTAAAACTCAATGTTGGATTTGTTTCTTACAAACATGCAGCTTTTCACTTCATGTTAATTGATGGACTGAAGTCATGTTGTGGATTATTGTGATGTTTTTATCAGCTGTTTGGTCTCTCATTCTGACGGCACCCATTCACTGCAGAGGATCCATCGGTGAGCAAGCGACGTAATGCTAAATTTCTCTAAATCTGTTCTGATGAAGAAACAAACTCATCTACATCTTATGGCCGGAGGGTGAGTAAAATGTAAGCAAAATTTAATTGCATATTAAAATCTATATTTATGCAAACCTTTGCATTAGCGCAAGGAAATAGGATGCCAAGAGAAAAAAGGCCCAGTAGAGGTCCGCCAACCACTCCTGCGATACTAATAGCAGCCTGTTGAGGAACAAACAGACAGAAAAATTAAGATTATTCCATTCCATCGCCCTGTAATTTCACATAATTCATCAGTAACCCACCTGTAGCATCCCTACCATTAGTCAAGTCAAGTTGAGCTTTATTGTCATTCTGCTACATGTGGGGACATACAGTGGAACGAAATGTCGTGCCTCACAGGACCACGGTGCTACATAAATACAGGCATACAACAATGAAGTAAAACAGTAAAACCTATACACAACTTGCCTACTGACTGATTTTGACACTAAATATACTATATATATAAATGTTTGCCTATACATAAATTAAAAAAATACAAGCTATACGAATGCTTCACATAAACACTGTACCTACAGTGGGTACGGAAAGTATTCAGACCCCCTTAAATTTTATTGTCATTCCGCTACATGTAGGGGCATACAGTGGAACGAAATGTCGTGCCTCACAGGACCATGGTGCTACATAAATACAGACATACAACAATGAAGTAAAACAGACCCACTGTATACACAACTAACCTACTGACAGATTTTGACTATAAATATACTATATATAAATGTTTACCTATGCATAAATTTAAAAAATACAGACTATACGGATGCTTCACATAATACTGTACTGTACATGTGCAAAGAGAAACATCGTAAGTCAAACAACTGGCTGGGGAACAGTGCAAGATGATTTGTAGTGCATGAGCATGTAAACATGCACATATTACTGAGTCTTTTGTGGGATTATGTACACAAAGCAGTGTGTGTGAAAAGTGTCTAGTGCGCATAGAGGAGAGTGTTTCTACAGGTGGTTTGTACAGGCCCTGTAACACACTTCGGGGGAAGGCGGGGTGATTTGAGTTCAGGGCTCTCACAGCCTGGGGGAAAATGCTGTTGAGCAGTCTGCAAACTGGAGCGGATCGAGTGTGTTGGGGAGGCTGGTTTTGATGTTGTGCATGACTAACCTCTCAAAGCACTTCATCATGATTGGAGTCAGTGCTATGGGACGGTAGTCGTTTAGACAGGACACAGGTGATTTCTTTGGTACCGGTATGATTAATGATGCAACACCAGCCATTCTGATGCACACGGCACCATAAAACAAACCTGTGATTGGGGAATAGTAGGTGGAATCACTGATTATGCATTAATGGGCTCTAAGTGAAGATATTCACTCACTCATGCCCTTTGAAGCCCAGGACAGCTGCTTTTCTGACAGACTGAGGTATGGCCGTATCAGATCTGCAATAGTTACTGCAGCCAAAGCAGGAGGAGACTGTACTATAGACATTAAACATGATATAATACATGCTCAAAAATGTTAATTTGATAAATGTGGTATGAACATTTTGTCTTTAACTCACTCACATATCATTCCATATTTTAGGTTTCTCAAAGAACCTTTCAGAGAAGTTCTTAAAAGAATCGTTTTTCTTAGTGTGAAGAACATTTAAAAAATCTAAAGAAACTTTTTCTACCATAAAGAACCTGTGCAATGGAAATGTTCCATGGATGTTGAAGGATCTTTATGGAACCACAGATGCCAATAAAGAACCATTATTTCGAAGATCTTTTTGAGATGAGTGAAGATCTTGTTAACTAAATCAGTTAACTAATGTTAACAAATGAAACTATAATGTAAAGTGTTTCCTGATTTTACGTTTTCTCACAATCTCACAACACTATCAGAACATTATAATAGACTTAAGAATATAGCACAAGAGTTATAGTTTAATGGTCATTTATTGTCCTTTTTTGAGTCATGCTTTAATTGTATGGCAAAGAGCTGATTGGACATTCTGCTAAATATCTTCTTTTATGTTCCACAGAATTTCATATGGGTTTGGAACGACATTATGGGTAAGAAAATGATGAATGTACTTTCTGGGTGAACTGGTTGTCTTAACAGAGAACAAACCTTAATGTGCCACTATATGCTGCTGCCACAAACAGTCCTGGCACGCCAGGATATTCACTCAGGATGTCCAACACCAGGTATGGCATAAGCTTATTGCATATAATAGAGAGAGACATTAATGTAGCATATTCCGAATTGATCAATAATGTCATATAAATGTTATCGAGAGTTTTAAAAACATGCACATGCACAGTTATTTTTTATTGCATTTGAGATGCATTGTTGTGGTTTGTACCTGATCCAAAGCAGACACCTTTCTTGCTGTCCATGGATCACAGTTTTTATAAAAGGAGTATAGACACAAGCCACAAAATACTGAGCATATTGATATAGCCCAGAGACATACTAAGTTAATGTATAAAGCCCTGGATAGAGACAAAAACGCAGAGAAAAGTGGTTCAGATATTGCATTCCTTTTAGTGTGAATTAGAGTTTTATGATTTGTGCAGTGCTCACATTTTGGCATGGAACATGGACTTGCATGATATGTATCTCTGCACCTGAGCTTGATTGATGATACCATAGACGCTGGTCCAGAGGAACGTCCCTCCCACTGTGATGCTCCAGAAAGTGTGTCTCCTCAGAGGGTTTGGATCGAAGCTGAGAGGGTCAGACACAGCATGAGAAAGACAAGCGTTTAAAGAGATAGTCCAAGCAAAAAATTCTGTCATTTACTCACCCTCATGTCGCGCTAAACTTGTATGAGTTTCTTTCTTCTGCTGAACACAAGGGAAGATATTTTGAAGAATGCTGGTAACCAAACAGTTTCGGTTCCCATTTACTTCCATTATATATTTTGACCATAAAATGGATGTCAGTGGAAGCTGAAACTGTATAGTTTCCAACATTCTTCCAACATTATCTTCTTTTGTGTTATGCTGAAGAAAGAAACTTGTACAGGTTTGGAACACATGAGGGTGAAAAAATTATATTTTTCTCTGGACTATCCCTTTAATTATGCATTCCTGTCAGTCATGTTATAACTTACTCCCATAGGTTGAGCCGCCTGCCCTGGGCGGAGTCACTGATGATAGTGGAGATCCCGCCCTGCAGCAGCACTGATTGGACGATGACAGCCAAGAGCCCGGCCAACATGATGCCCACCTGGAATACATCCGTCCACACCACTGCCTTCAGACCGCCCTGCCAGGGTAAAGGCGCATTTTAATACATATACATTATATAAACATAAAATGCCAATTTTAGTGTTGCTACACTGTTAAAAATAAAGGTTCTTTATTGGCATCAATGTTTCTATGAAGAACCTTGAACATCCATGGAAACTTTCAAATGCAGAAAAGGTTCTTTATATTCGAAAATGGTTCTTTTGGGAACCAAAATAGTTTCATCACTGCAAAAACACCCTTTTGGAACCTTTATTTTTAAGAGTGTTCTGTATCATTTTAATATAGCAGGGATTCTGAAACGTTTTCGCCTGTACATCTTGTATATTTTCACTCAACTGAAATAAAATGTCAACTAAAATAAAATAAAATG